AGACACGCACACCACACCACCCACACACACATACCTACACACATACATACACACAAACAAGCGCACAACCACACACACACATTCACACACACACACACGCAACAACACACACAACCACACACAACACACACAAAAACGCACAAATACACACAACCATCCACACACAAGCACAAACACGAACAACACACAAACACACACACACAACCACGCAAACACACAGCCACACACAACCCAAACACACACACACACACAACACACAATCAGACAACACACACAAACACACACGCACACACAAAACACAAACACGCGCAGACACAAGCACACTCAAACACACACACACACACACACACGCAAACACACGAGCACGCAAACACAGACACAAACACACACACACACACAAGCACACACCCACATCACGCACTCACACACACATCACACACACACACGCATCTCACACCACACACATCACACACATACGCACGCACACGCACACGCACACGCACACGCGCACACACAGACACGCAGACACATATACACACAGACACACAGAGACACACATACACATATACATAGACACACAGACACACACAAACACACACGCACACAGACACACAAACACACAAACACAAACACACACACACACTCACACACACACTCACACCCACCCACCCACATCCACACCCACACACACACCCACATACCCACAAACCGAAAACCACACCCCCACCCACACTCACACACCCCCCGACGCCCACACCCACACCCACACACACACACACACATCCCCACACCCACACCCGCCCCCACCCCGACCCCGACCCCGACCCCGACCCCGACCCCGACCCCCCCCCCACCCCTACCCCCGACCCCACCCTCACCCTCCCCCCCACCCCCACACCCACGCCCACGCCCCCGCTCATGACCACCCCAACCCCCACCCCGACCCCCACGCCCACCCCCACAACCCCACACGCACACTTTCTTCGCCCCACACACACAGAAGCACACACACACAGACACACTCAGACACACACACACACACAGACACACAGGCACACCCCCACGCACACTTACACACATACACACGCTGTACAGTGGGCGAGGGCGGCGAGCGGGCTCGAAATGGGAACAAGGAAATGTGACACCAACACGAGCAGGGCGAGGAGGTGCGAGGAGGCAAGGGGAGTCTCCCTGGTGGTGTGGTCCCCCCTCGAGACATCCCCAGCATCCAGTTCGGGGAGGCATCGTGGACCTCCTCGCTGGAGGTGGACCCCCTGGTGGTGTTGGTATCGCTTCTCCCTGCGGCGAAGGTCGCAGGATGAGAACCGACGCTGGATCGAGGAGTATCGAGGAGGAGGAGGAGGAGGAGGAGGAGGAGGAGGAGGAGGAGGAGGGATGATGATGATGATGATGATGATGATGATGATGATGATGATGATGATGATGATGATGATGATGATGATGATGATGATGATGATGAGGGGGAGGAGGATCGAGGATGGAGGAGGATCGAGGGTGCCTGGAGCGTCGCCCCGTTCGTGGGAAGCCACACTCTCCCCGGGCGCCCGCGTGCCCTCGCGCGCGAGGGCCGCTGGGGCGTGCCGCGCGCGCACCCCTCGGGAGACCGAGCAGGCGCTCAAGAGCTCGGTCGAGATCGGGGGCCCCGTGGCACGACCGCTGCCCCCCCGGACGGCTCCTGGACTCGGGCAAGAACCCCTGGCTGGAGACGCCCTGCCCCCTGTCTCGCCCCATGGGCCCGAGAGGTAGACGAGACGCACGAAGCTGGCAAGCACGACCTTCCCAGTGAGCACGAGGCCACGGCCTTCTTTGATGGGGCCCCAGAACACACAAATGAATACACACTAATAAAATATTCCCCATATTTTCCCATATGTTCTGGGTGTTTGTCTTCCCCCCACTTCCCATATGTTCCCATATTTTCTAGGGGAATTGACGATTAATTGTGTCTGTGTGTTTCTTTCCCTCCTGATTCTTGTCCAAGACAGCAATGCACGTCGTCTCTTCCCTCGCATCTTTCCCCCAACTCCACGCGAGACGGCCTCGAGGGAACCCATGGCGCCTCGCACCCGCAGGCATGGTGTTCCTTCTCCCCCTCCTCCTCCTCCTCCTCCCTTCCCCCTCCTCCTCCTCCTCCTCCTCCTCCTCCTCCTCCTCCTCCTCCTCCTCCTCCTCCTCCTCCTCCCCTCCCCGCTCCGCCCCGTTCCCCTTTCCCCCATAGCCCTCCTGCAGCAGCCCGAATCTCACGCCGAAAGGACCTCCTCACGACCCTCCCCTCGCCACTGAACAAGAACATACCTATACGAGCACCCTTCGGGTGATAAGGAAGTTCGGGGGGGGGAGGAACCAACGTCTCACTCGATCGGTCCCACTATCGATCTCACTACCGATCTCACTATCGGTCTCGCTCGATCGATCTCACTCGATCGATCCCACAATCGATCTCACTCGATCTATTTCATTCGATCTATCTCACAATCGATCTGACTATCGATCTCACAATCGATATCATATCGATCGCACTATCGCTTTCACAATATATCTCGAATTCGGTCTGACTATCGATCTCACTATCGATATCACAATCGATCTCACAATCAACGTCACCATCATTATCATCAACACCATCGTCATCAACGTCATCAACATCATCATCATCATCATCATCATCATCATCATCATCATCATCATCATCATCATCATCATCATCGGAACACCACCATCATCGTCATCACCGCATGACCACCATCATCAACATCATCATCATCATCCGGGCACCATCATCGTCACAACCATCATCATCAAGATAATCATCATCGGGACACCATCATCATCTTCATCATCGAAATTCCACCTTAATCATCACCATCATCATCACCTCATCATCATCATGAGCAAAAACATCAACATCATCATCATCGGGACACCATCATCATCGGCAACATCATCATCATCATCAACATCATCACCATCGGGACACCATCATCATCATCGTCACCATCATCATCATTACCATCATCATCATCATCATCATCGGGGCACCATCAACATCATCAACATCGGTATCATCACCATCATCGTGACACAATCATCAAAACCATCATCATCATCATCGGAACACCATCACCATCACCATCATCATCACCATCAACAGCATCATCATCAACCTCATCATCATCATCAGGGCACCACCATCATCATTTTCAACATCATCATCTCATCATCCCATCATCATCAACATCACCAGGATCATCAACATGAATATCATCATCGTGACACCATCATCATCATCAACAATATCATCATCATCAGCATCATCATCATTGGGAAAACATCATCATACCACCATGGCCTTCATCATCCGCATCATCATCATCATCATCATCACCATCATCATGATCACCATCGGGACACCATCATCGTCACCACCATCACCCTCAACACCATCATCATCGGGATAACATTATCGTCATCATCATCGGAACACCACCATCATTATCATCATTTCATCATCATCATCATGAACAAACTCATCAACGTCATCATCATCGGGGCACCATCGTCATCATCAGCAACATCAGCAACATCATCATCATCATCATCATCATCGGGACACCATCATCATCGCCACCATTCTCAGCATCACCATCATCATCTTCATCATCATCATCATCATCATCATCATCATCATCGGGACACCATCATCAAGATCATCATCATTATCGGGCCACCATCATCAAAATCATCATCACCTCATCATCATCCTCATCATCAGCATCGGCATCACCATCATCGGACACCATCATCAAAATCATCATCATGATCATCATCATCATCATCGTCATCATCGTGACACCATCATCCTGTCCATCATCACCATCAACAGCACAATCAACAACCTCATCATCATCATCGGGACACAATCATCATCTTCATCATCATCATCTCATCATCTCAACATCATCAATATCATCAGGATCATCAACATCAACCTCATCCTCATCCTCATCCTCATCCTCATCCTCATCCTCATCCTCATCCTCATCCTCATCATCATCATCATCATCGGGACACCATCATCATCAACAACATCAACATCATCATCGAGACACCATCATCATCACCACCATGGCCACCATCATCATCAACGTCGTCATCATCATCATCATCATCATCATCATCATCATCATCATCATCATCATCATCATCATCATCGGGACACCGACGGGACACCGGCGGGACACCGGCGCGACACCGCGCGCCACTGGCCCCCGGACAGGAAACATTTGGTCCGGCCGCGCCTCAGCCAGAGGCGGGACACTTCTCGCCCGCCCACGCAGCTTCGCCTCGCCCGCACGCACGGCACACACGAACACAGAACCGAAACCGATTTCCCGGTAGGGGGGCTCTCCGTTCCGCTTCGATCTCACCCTTTCACCTCCGACAACATACAAACAAACTTTGACAGCTCACGCGTTGGATCGGCGCTGACCCCCTCTCAGGCGCGCTCTGCGCGCCAGGGGCAGCGCTGGAGGCGCCGCCAGCAGGCTTCACCGCAGATACAAGACCTTCGAGACCGCCAAGGGAAGAGGAGGAGAAGGAGCAGGATGAGGATGACGATGAGAAGGAGGAGGATGAGGATGAGGAGGATGATGAGGATATGGAGGATGAGGATGATGAAGATGCGGCTGATGATGCTGATGCTGATGCTGATGTTGATGTTGATGTTGATGATGTTGATATTGATGTTGATAATGCTGATGATGCTGCTGATGATGATGAAAAAGAAGAAGGGAAAGAGGAGGAGGAGGAGGAAGAGGAGGAGCAGGTGACCCACGCGTTTAGAGTTCGCGCAAACCTTCGACAATTTATCATTCTGCACCTTTCCTCCTTCGGCACCCGCCGCACCGCGCAATCCGGGCGACCGCGCCGCAGGAATGCCCCCTCCCGATGGCGGGCGGCAGCAAGAGCGCGGCGATGGCCTCACCAGCAGCACCGACCCTATGATCGCCTGCCGGGCTGGGGCGCAGAAAACCCCGGTGCGCCAGCTCCGATGGGACGGGAGGGGGAGGAGGAGGAGGAGGAGGAGGAGGAGGAAGAGGAAGAGGAGGAGAAGGACGAGGAAAAGAAGGATGAGGAGGGGGATGAAGAAAAGGACAAGCTAGGGGCGCTCGCGTCATATCTGACGTCCTACCCTTCCGCCCAATCCCTTACCATGGCGTCGATATCCTCTCTATTCGCACAACCGGATGTCGTAACAACATGATATGGCATAAGATGGTGTTGAAGTTCAGCGCGGGCATGACATAGCATGGCGTGGCGGAGCCCCACGGTGGAGGGGCATCCGCGGCCCCAAAATCATCGAATCGACACCGAATGTGGGATCACTTCCGATGTTTTTCCGGGGGTGCAATTTTTAGATTTTGGAACTTATTCGGGAAGGGCCGAAAATGATGCCGTGGCATGGCACTGGAAGTAATGACGCCATCGCTGGAGCGGGAGCACGATTCGGAACGAGCGGAAGCGCGGAAATAACGCGAACGCCGTTTGAAGGGGGTTGGGAGGCCCAACCATAAGCTTCGCCTGCGAAGCCCATATCCAACTCTGTTATACGAAACGATAGTCCCAGAAGTAGGAGATCGTCGCGGGAACGACGGGCCATGTCAAGAGAAGGTGTTCTCGGTCTCGATGGCAAGTAGTGTGCCTCGCGGTGAAGCACAAACACATGTTGGCGGCCGGCCGCTTGAGCACAAACGGCCGCGGCCAAACGCTCGCTATCTCTCGCCATTGCCCCAGTCTCCTTTCGAGTCGGGGGGGGAGAGACGAGGCGCGAGTCCACCGCCACATGTGCAGCAGAACGCTATACTACACAAGGTCGCCAGCAGCAGGCGGGCTCAACAAGGAAGGTTGACCCGCGCGCAAGTTCCCTCGCAAGCAAGTTGCCTCGCAAACAATTTACCCTGCAGATGACTGTTCCTCGGGGGACTCAGACGATCTTGTCTGGCCAACCCTGTATGGAGTGTGTCGTTTTAAATCATGCTTGTAGGATTGCGTTCCTCCCATGACCGGTAGAAGAATGTCCCTGTCGATGTTCCCTGTGGTGTGGCCGTCCGCGGTCATGTCGCGAGTGTCACACCACTGCGCACAATGCACGATACCTCGCTCCATCGTCTGTCGCATTCAACTGATGTGTCCCAAAAGTGCGCACTCAGTCGGTTTCTTCTGGTCTTGTTTGACAAGGACTTGAAGACATATTCTGCATCGATTGTCAAAGTGACCTTAATGCTCAGGCCGCCCATCTCGAGCATATCCTTCAATTGACTGGGTGCCAGCGGCCCTACGTGGAGTTCGTGCAGAGTGACGATCGTGGGATAGCAATCCTCCAAACTGCGGGCTGTTGCAAGGGCTTCCAGTAAAAAGCTCGAACGGGCCTGCAAGCAATGAAACTTGCAATGCGTGCCGACAAGATGGACGACGGGCTTGCCGGCGTGCGCGCGACCACGCCGTAGCCGATTTGCCCAGCGAATACAATAGCATCTGACCTCGTCCTCGGTATCTCCGCTTAGATGCGGGTAACCGAAGTCGCTGCGCAGGTCGACCTCGCCCGTTGGAATCATCGCTCGATAGGCGATCTTCTTAGGGCAGGCCAGTAACTTTCTGGTAGCCGCGTGAAGTCGTCGCACTTGCATGTTGGTCGGTTCTTGGGCGCGCTGTTGAGATGCAATAGATGCCATTGACCGCGCCTGTGTGATCAGGACGTCAGCAAGGGCGCCTCTGAGGCTAGCAAACATGTCCGTGACCATATTCGACGCCTTGGCGTCGGCGTCCAGCATGCAAGGCTTTAGATACCTTGACTGGATTCGCCTGGATGTCGGCCCTCGCGAGGAAGCCGTCCTACTTGACGACTGCAGCTCGTTTAGCTGCAGCGGTCACATATGCTCGCATAGTGGTCACATGGTCGAAGTCCAATATTATGCTGTTGTTCGGCTAGGACCGCTCCTGATATGTCCGCAGTGAAGCAGAAGTTCTAAATATCGCCCGTGCTCGTCAAGAGTCCAACCCATAACTGTCGTCTTCGCCCGTGGATCACAGCGGGGCATGATATGTCTCGGTTGCGTCTATATCATGCGGGCTACCCCGCGAAGGCAAGTGCCCCCGCTGTTCTGCAGCTACTGCGACCGGCACACTGTTGTCGGCGATCATCTGCGCAGGTGCAGTGCAGAGGTCGTCTATGGGAGTTGCCTCCAGTAGCTCTCTTTGATATTGCAGTTCTGTGCACCGCACATGCATGATATGTGCCTCGAAGTCAACTTCTGATTCCTCCTGCATGGTGGGAAGCCGTCCATCTTCCTGTGGTCGTTCGGCTTCTGGGGCTTCTCTGGCGCCGTTGTCTTGTGTTGGTGCGTCTGCCAGGTCTTCATACTTCGTCATGTCTGGGTCGAGACCCGCTTGAGGTCTGGTGGGCTTCAGGCACGGGGTGATCCTAGAATGTGCTGATCCAATTATATCATATGTTTAGGGCAGTGCCCTCGGCTACGTAAAAGTGGAAGCCTGGGTTCACGTCGTTGTCATAGCGCGCCAATGTACAACTGTCAGCATAAGCCGCCGGAGGCAGCTCGTGAATACTCTTAGCTAACCTGGCACAGACTGCAATCTCGATACGACAGAAGTCTCTGCTGAGGTATTGAAGAGGTAACTAAAGGGTTCTTTGGGAGATCATCGCCTCGCACTTGTCATATGGAGCATTCCCTTTTTGGTCGGGGGGCAACCGCATGTCATAGTTGGTCGCCCCGCAGGTAGACTGGCTACGAATGTCAACACATTCCGCAGTGCTGCGTTGTCCGAGCTACTTGTTTCGAGATCGAAGCTTCGATCTGTAGTGAATGTCGTGCGTCGCCGCGTTGGACTTGTACATCGCGGTTCCCCGCTCTGCTGATGACTTGACCCGAGAATAATGGGATGTGTCCGTTTACTGTTTGTGGTCCAGAACAGGCAAATCGGGTGGCGTCGCCGGTTGCCGCCCGAACAGCCCTTTGCATGGAGACACCTCAATGTAGAAGGTGAGCGCGTTGAAGGCAGGAAAGGCTTCATGCAGTAGACGCGCAAACACAAGAGGTATGTCCCATCTGTTGAGTTCAGCCTCCATGGCGTGAAGTCAATGCCGTAGTATACCACTTCTGGCTTCCATGGTCGAAGCGTGTTTCCCACGCGCACATGTCCTTCGCTCGGTGCCTTTTGCCTCAAAGGCTGCCTATGCGGCGTCGCCGTTGAGTGCGCATTCTCCGTCGGAGTAAAGTACTTTGCATCTGGCACTGATGATGCGCTTCCAAGATGCTGGTCATGTTTTTAGAAAGCATGTCAGTTCCAGCACCATGCCGAATGCAACGATCGATCATATGAAATATCTGGTGTTCCTGTTTATATATATATATATACACATATATATACACCAAAAACATCAGATTGCATCTGACTTCACCACTATATTTGCAAAAAAGCTCAGTCGACGGCATGGCGGCATGCCCTGGCTTGTCCCAAGCCCTGCACTCCCGACGTGCATCACATACGCCTTTTGCCAAGTTCAGCCTGACGCAGACCAAGCCAGCCTTGGTCACGATGGGTTTCATCTTAGGCTCTTTGGCGTGGAACCACCGCAGGTGTAGTTTTCGCCACGCTCGCGCTACCGCGCTTGGGTCAAGGCGTAAGGTCCGCAGACTAATTTGTACATCGAACCTTGACCAGTCTGGAAGCCTTGGGCGATCAGCAGGGTTACCCGCAGGTGGTGGTGGTGGACCCCCTCCTTGCTGTCGCCCTCGTCTAGCCATTATTGGTGGTGGCCGTCTGTGATCGCCCGAGCTGCCGGCCCCGCTCGAGGCGGGTGGCCCCGCGGCCAATTCAGCGGCATGTCTGCCTACTGTTACGTCGCGCCTGCCAGCGCCTGCTGTTGGTCCAGCTCTGGAACCGGGCCTCGGAGCACGTAGTCTCGCAGCTTGTCTGGCGGCTAGTGCCTCGGATGTGGCTGCCGCCGCAGGTGGTGGTGCGTCGGACGCAGCTGCCGCCGCAGGTGGTGGGGCTGCTGGTTCGGCAGGGGCTGGAAGCTCCTGTCCGCGGTTATCAAGCAGCTTCCACGTTTTGACAAGTTTACGTTTGCCAGGCGTGCGTAGGTGACCAGGTACATCCTGACCGCAGTTCTTCCTGCAACTTGGGCGTTCCCACTGATAATCATCCTTGTCGTGCCACCTGCAGTGCTTGGGGTCCCTATCGTGAGATGGGGAGTATACGTTGACGTTGTCCGCGCACTCTGGGCACCCCCGTCCTCCCGATGGAGGCCCCATGGTCGATCCGTCAAGATGTCGACGAATGGCTGGGTCATCCAAGTCGAATCCTAGCATGTTCTTGACGAGAACAGAAGACGAATAAGGATTATTCCGACATCGATCCCGATTCCCTAGGACAACGCCATGTGCAATTTAAACTGCTTCAACCAAGAGGGATTGCACATTCGGAGTACATTGGGCCGCCCTGGCCAGCTCCTCGTTGCAAACCGAGGCATTTTGATGACGGCCCGTGCACCGTTTGCTCTCGCTGGGCGTCAGCAAAAGAGGATGGTTGGCCATTATCTCAACCCCATGGGGGTCGCGAAGACCCGTGGTGCATTGGTACATGTTGACTGTGCGACTGCCCTCGCGTTTTGCCAATGTCGTCCATGGTGGTATTTCATCCACCCAAGCACCGACTGGTTGTTCTCGCAAGTAAAACCGTCGGAGGTCGTCTTGACATACTGTACCCCCGTCCGCCAAACTTGATGCGTGGAAGGTCTTCCTTGTGGCGTTCATGCGACGTGTCATAGTTTACATCAGAATGGAAGTAGGGCGGCAGTCCAATCGCTCTGCAGTTGGGCTGTAGTGTAACAGCATTGACGGAGCACGCGTCCAGGTGGGGCATGACAGCGGGGGGCTAACTGCGATATTCCCCCATTACCTCAGCGCAATTCCAGCGCGTCTACCTTGT